TCGCTCCAGCGCATGCCCGGGGGGCCCCGTTGCTCTCAGGGGCTCGGCCCCTGCCACCGCCCGGGGCCCTCGACTTCCAGCTGCTCAGGGACAAATGGCCCTCGCAAATGATCTACTCAGTGCTATTTGAAGCACAATAAATAACAACATCTCATTTTTTGCCGTGTGGGATCTAAACCCAGGAACGGAGCTGCCCTGCATGCCCTTAGCACGGTCAAGCGGTCTTGCTAGTTCGTGGCGTGCGTTTTCAGGGGAAAGGGGTCATTTAAGAAATACAAGAAAAGCGGTGGCAGGGCAGTCAGCGAATTGGGATTCTCAAATGGGGTGTGTTAACGCACAACCTGATTTGGGGTGAGGTTGTACGGATCAGGCCCGGGCACAGCAGCCCAGGGGCTCCACACTGGCTCCACCGCACCACCAACACCCTGTGCTGTGCTCGCTGCTGCCCAACAAGGCTTACCACAAAACCTGAGATTCCTCTTTTCGAGTTCAGCACTGAGTTCAGAAAAGGGGGTAGCACGGTAGCTGTAAGAACCCATGGATTCAAGAAAGCTGCAAATTCTGAGAAGAGACCACACCGACCCATCTACGCAGTTAGAAAACTTGGCATGAAAGAAGACAAACCTATGAGTGGGTCTGTACTATCGACTTTTGAATTAAGAATTCAGGGCAAACTGAATACACACTGCTATGGGAGTTCAGAGGCATCAAAATTAAAATCCGAAGGCTTAGTCATCAGCATCCTGTATAAAAATGGTCAAACAGCTCAATGTTCAAATTCTAGAGAAAAATATTGTGGATGCTCTTGTTTGTTGTCACAGTAAGTTCTGGAACACACAATTATTGGCCCTGCATGCTGTCTGTAAGAGACGACTTATAACTCCCTAAAACAAAGACTGAGAGAAGCAGCCTGAGGAGAGAGAAGGGGAGGGGGCAGAGGCCCTCTGAGCCTCTCCAAGGAATGTCTCAAACACTCGCAAGTACCTTGAAATGTAACTGTAGTGGCAGGATGGGTAACGTAGAGTCTGGGTAATGCAGGCCTTGTGCTCAAAGGACAGGTAAGGCTAACACTAGCTTACCTCTTGCGTGACTCAGGCAAGAAGAAAACTCGTCTGAATAGCAGAGGATGTGCGTGGGTTGGGTAAGTCTTGTGGAGACAGGACTTTCTGCTCAACTTGTGAAGCTTGTTCTCTGTTTTCAGGGCCATTGTGTCTGATGAATAACCTTTGCCTCATTATCTGCAAAATGCATATTAAAGTTGACACCCTACATATGCTAATGAAGATTATAGAGATTATGCTAAACATACGTGACTATAGCACTCGTCTCTCCACCCAAATCATGCTACATGTCACCTGGGGGGGAGAGAAACCTGAGACGAAACTGCCACCGTAGCCGTAGGGCGGGTTGTACTGATACAGTGAATATAAAAGGGGAAAATAAGTGCCGCTGGGAGGGATCCACAGAGGAGCGCTCCTACAAACCAGAGACCCCCAGTTGGCTGGACCGACGCAGGAACGAGGACCAGTGATCTCTTTTATCTCTCTCTCTTTCTCTATCCCTTTGCTTCTGTTTTCTTTTACAGTTGTTAAGTAACACAAGACATTCCTTACTGCTTGCCATAATTTGTTATATACCTAACCAATTATCGTGGACCTAGTTAAGACATATATTAATCACTGTGGGAATCTAATAAATGTTTGTATACGGACCTTGAGAGTTGTCTCACCTTAGTCCATACTGCTGAGGATTTGTGAATTTGAGTCACTGCCCCCGGCTCTTCTGAGTGGGGCGTGACACTGTCCAGCAGTCACTGAAGCAATAGTGCCGCACCACCAAGCAGAAGTTCCCACAGTATCCTCAAAGCCATACGTCAAATATCTGGAACGTGTTCAAGAGTCATTGTAAGGTTTAGACAGTAATATTTCATTCAAATCAGTTGAATTCAAAACACACTGAGTCTCAAGAGATATGTAATCACTGAACAAAAAAAAGGACAGTTGGAGAAAGGGAGTATCTCTTGAATTTAGTTCAAGAGATATTTTAAAATGAACAAATACTATAGAATTTAGAAAGCTTCACTGGAATGAAGCTAACAAGTAAGAGGCAACAAACTACAAAAGCAAACCTTTTATGCGTTGGAAGATACAAATGAGCCGCACAGCTGCTTCTGGAAGAATCATTGTACTGTCATGATAAAAGTGAACAAAAAGATAGGACCGAACAAAAAGATAGGACCAACCAAAATTTCAGAAAATGTTTTTCAGCAACTTTCACAACAGGTAAATAAAAATAACCTAGTAACAGGCCTATACCAGGCCTGTTATTCTTTTGTAATAAAAAGAAAGTGGTCTCCAAGACTAGGAAGCAGACAAATTTAAACTACAACAACACTTTCATGTCTCAGGATCTAAAAATATAATTGAAGGCAGACTGCGTGCATTTTACAAGGAAAATAAATTGGCCTAATAGGCTATTACTCCACTATATAAAATCCTACTTCAATTTGAGTGATGCTTATTTACAAGTTTAGGAAGAGTTTAAGAATAGCTTAACTGAAATATTAAAACATCCAATCTCTGGTTTAAAGTAAGTCAGGAGGTTTACAGTGTAGAAAATACCCGATTTTTAAAAATCTTGTAGGGTAACATGAGAAATTGTAAGGCTCTAAATCAAATACCTGTGGGGGAAAAAAGTAATTATAAACGGTAACACCTAGAAAAGCATGATCCAAAAGTGTCTAACTAGCACTAGTCTTCTGCAAAGATAATTACATCTCAAAAATCTCTTACAGAAATGTCTAAGATGTAATAAATAGATGCTGGCAGGCATAATTTAGACTTTCAAGGGTTTGGCCAAGTGGCATAACATAAGGCTCAGCAGAAACTGGAGTCCTCATTGTAAACTTGAATGCCTACGCTGTTTCTGCCACTCAGACAACATTGTCCAAAGAAACTTGTCACACCTATGGTACTATTTCACCAGTTACATGCAGGTTAAGCCTGCAGTCCATATGAATATCTGAAATGCCTCTTTCTGCCCTGATAGTCTCCAAGTTTCAGACTTTGCTGAATCATTTATTTATGAACTGAAAAAAAGAACAAGTAGAAAACCAACAAATATTAGAGGACAGACAGGTCAATCAGGGTCAGAGAGACAGCAAGAACTCAAGAAGTCTAGAAGGTAAATGAATGGGAAAACACAGTACCAGAAAATAAAATAAAATTGGATAAATGCAGGGAAATTGGAAGTATAAACATTATAGTGGGGTTTAGAGGATTCATACAGTTTCTTATGATGATGATTTGTCATACGAGGTTGTGATCGCAGAAGTCAAGCCAATAGGATAAATAAGACACAGAATAATGACAACAATACAAAGAATATTTAAGTACAGTTATACAAAGCTGAGAAATAGTCTCATTTAGGATATGCTCTATATTTCTGGTCATTCTAGCTCAAAACTGACTGAAATCGCAAAGTTATGAGGGACTAAAAAAACAAGCAATGAAGATGAAGAAAATTCACAAGAAAAGAGATTAAGGAGACTGAGATCATTTATGTTAGGAGAAGCGTAGGAGAGAAAATATAAAAAGGTATCTAAGTGAACATTTAAGGACAAAGGATACTTAAAGTTACAACACATGAAGATTAAACAGATTGTGATTCTACAGAAATAACATTTCTTGACTGACAGCTCATATTTACATTTCTGTATGTTTTAAATTAATCTTTTCCTATTAGAAAAGTGTTATCCTGGGTTCTCTCACGCCATTTCAACTCCATGGGTTTTCTGATGCTTAAACTTCTTAACTGTTGGACACACCTCCAAAAGCTTTTGCTGTTTTGCAAAGATAAAGGGCAAGCAATTACCAATATTCATTACCCAAGGAGCAAGCCGATTGCCCAGTAGGAAGAAATTTGCTCTCCAGCTGCTAGCCGATATGACTATGGACATCATCCATAATCCTGCCTCCATAGGATAAAGGCGAATGGCTTCGAACTGTAAGAGGGCAGATTGAGATTAGATATTAGGAAGAAATTTTTCACTTTGAGGGTGGTGAGGCACTGGAACAGGTTGCCCAGAGAGGTTGTTGAGGCCCCATCCCTGGAGGTGTTCAAGGCCAGGCTGGATGGGGCTTTGAGCAACCTGGTCTAGTGGGAGGTCCCCCTGCCCATGGCAGGGGGGTTGGAACTTGATGATCTTCAAGGTCCCTTCCAACCTAAACCATTCTATGATCCTATGACACGAGGAGTTTGACACCCTGCTCCTCGTGAGCTTTGTAGCACAAGGAGAAATGGGTATTTTGAACCATACCTTCAACGTGTGTGATGGGGGTCATGCACGTATGGCTTCTCCATACCTGTCCTCTGCTGTTCCTTTCCACAAAATTCAGTGTAATAAGAGTAGCAACTCTTTGGTAACCTGCGGAATGGCCTTCAAACTCCCAGGATCACAAAATCACACAATCATTTAGGTTGGAAAAGACCTTGAAGATCACCGTGCCCAACCATAAACCTAACACTGCCAAGTCCACCACTGAACCAGGTCCTTAGGTGCCACACCTGCACGGCTTTTAAAATCCTAGTAAGCTTATTTCTTCTTTCATTTTATCCCAAAGTTGCTTTCTGTTCAGAGCCGAATCTCTGCGGTATTTCCCGTTCTGCGTGCGATGCATTTTATTCAGGGTATTACCGCACTATGAAGGGCCGCACAGAGGGACACGGCTGCTGCAGGGGATGGTGGGG